AATCAGCATGGAGCATCAGGCCGAGGGGCGGGGTCTGAGTGGTGATCTCACACCTGTTCTGAGGCCAGAAAACTGTTGTCCATCTGATGTCACCTGTGTGAGTCAGGCGATGTCCCCACGGCGACGTGGTCAGCTGTCGCCGGGGTTCCTCGTACTGGTCACCTGCCGATGACCTGTGTGTGTGTTTACCTGCGCTTACCTGTGTCTTTCTGTCCGTCCGGCAGCACACGCTGACGGGTCACAGCGGGAAAGTCCTGTCCGCTCGCTTCCTGTTGGACAACGCTCGCATCGTGTCTGGGAGCTACGACCGCACACTCAAGCTGTGGGACCTTCGCAGCAAAGTCTGTACGTGAGTGCACGCTCGCTCAGCGTCGGCGAGTCCTCGCCCGAGCTAACTGTCGCTCACCTGTGCAGGTATGAAGACGGTGTTCGCCGGCTCCAGCTGCAACGACATCGTGTGCACCGAGCAGTGCGTCATGAGCGGACATTTTGACAAGAAGGTTCGCTTCTGGGACATCAGGTGAGCGGCGCACGAACGCTGTCATCACTCAGCATGTCTGCCATCTGTCACGTGATGACACGCTCGTGTGCGTGTGTGTGACATCAGGGCGGAGAGCATCGTGCGGGAGCTGGAGCTGTTCGGCAGAGTGACGTCGCTGGATCTGAACCACGATCGCACCGAGCTGCTCACCTGCTCCAGAGACGACCTGGTGAAGATCGTCGACCTGCGCACCAACGCCGTGAAGCAGACGCTCAGGTGAGGCGGGCCCAGTGCAACGCAAAGCGGTCGAAGTTTAGAGGCAGCAGAAACATGGCGAGTCCATCTCGTTGGCAGGCGGTCAGTAGAGCTGATGATGTGAGGAAAGATCACCTCATATTTAAATAACCTCCAAGAACAAGAAGAAGAATCTTTGTTGTCACGGGAACAGTGAAAGTTTCCCCATGTGTGTGAAATATTATCACACATGACACAGAGAAAATTACACTAGAAAGACGAGTTATACATGCATGTGAGGAGCAGGAGCATCAGTGATGCTGCACATTGAGTCGCTGCTGTTGCTACTGAATACAGTTTAAAGAGGAATGCTGGTTGCATTATCGTATAACCAAAAACACGGTTTATAAATCAAGTGTAAAACATGATTTCCAGCCTAAACTCAGTGTTTTTAACGATCCGCTGCACACGGTCGGCGCCGACCTTTAACGAACAGCAACAAAATGAAACAACTGAAACGACGAAGCTTTTGTGCTGTAACGTATAACAATAGTCAAACTGTCGCACGTCTGACCACGTGAAGTACCCAGGATGCTTTTGTTGCCGTAG